CCAGGCACCCTAACCAACCCCAGTGGGGGGGACGGGTCACCGCACACTCCACTAGGAGCGCAGCAGCTTCTGCGGCCTGGGCAACCCAGGCGTCTATTCTAGACATTTGTAGAGCGGCCACATGGGCTTCCCCCACGGCCTTTATCAAAAACTATAAGATTGACACCTTTGCCTCAGCCGAAGCCTCTTTGGCAGAAGAGTATTACAAAGAGTGGCTGAAAGGCCAGAGGCTACGGCGCTTCCCCACCCTGGGACTCAATAGCTTGGGCATGTCCCAGCATTGGACTCTCTGAGCAGTGCACTGGAGAAAGACCAAGCGCGCAGCCAACGTTGGCTTACCTGAACGGTCGTTCTCGGGGCACTGCGAGGAGAGTCCAAACCCACCCGGGTGTTTATTATATTGAACGATGTGACTGTATTGACTGTAACTGATTACAGGACGGTTTCCTTCGTTTTCGAACTGAGCATGCAGAGGCAAAGGGAGGCGTGGTCAACTAAAAACATCTCTCAGTCCAAGGGCAGATAGGCTGTGTTAACCCAGCATTGGACTCTCCGAGCAGTGCACTGGAGAAAGACTGTTGGCTTACCTGAACAGTCGTTCTCGGGGCACTGCAAGGAGAGTCCAAACCCACCCGGGGTGTTTATTATATTGAACGATGTGACTGTATTGACTGTAACTGATTACAGGACGGTTTCCTTCGTTTTCGAACTGAGCATGCAGAGGCAAAGGGAGGCGTGGTCAACTAAAAACATCTCTTAGTCCATGGGCAGATAGGCTGTGTTAACCCAGCATTGGACTCTCCTCACAGTGCCCCGAGAACGACCGTTCAGGTAAGCCAACGGTCTTTCACCTTCATAAAAATGCATTAACTTGTGGTGGAATGACAGGCTCATAATAATGATAATGCTAGATAATGTACTATGAAACACAAAATGCAGAGATACCCTTTCAGTAAGTTCTTTTCTGATACTTGTTAAGTGAGAAGTGTATGGGACATTAAGCAAGGATCTCATCTGATCACGACACCCGATTTCCTGCTAGCTTTCCCACTGACTTTACGTGTGTGAAGTTGGCAGAGAATATTGGAAATTGTGATCATGTGGTTATAGCTCATTTGCAATTTCATAATTCCGTATCCCAAATGCCCAGGTCATGATCACATGATCACAGCAACAGCCAAAACCTCTAAAGATCAGTTATAATTTACCACTCATTCAGTGCAAATTTGAACAGTCAATGAGTGAGTGGTAATTAAATGAAGACCACCTGTATCCCAAGCAGGCGATTCAAATATGCACTGGCATTTTTGTTCTAGGAGAAACTTACTGGAAACCTGTGAATATAGATTAAGTTTGATGAATTGTCAGAACTCATTTTTCCTTAAAATTTCTCAGTTCATCTCATTTTAATTGAATTTTCATGTCAACTCTTCAGACTATGTTTGCATGAGACATGCCCCATTTATGATTAAGTGTGAACCTGTGACTATTGATTCTACCCTTTTTAACACCACTCTCAAATGCCTTTTGTGGGTATAACACACAGTGTTACAGAAACAAATTTAAAATTGGGTTGTTTAAGTGTATTTCTTCTGTTATCAGTGAATGGAAACGAAAGCAGTCAACTTTTCTTGGGCTCAGGACTATAGTTCCTATTTCTATTCTGTAGGTGAGCCACAAGCTGGTAATATTATGATTAAGTTGGATTGGTTTGAGGGACGCGGTTAATGAGTGAACATGATTAGGTTAGCTTAAGGCTTCCCTTTAATTTTTCAACCACCTTAAAATGGGAAAAATCAGGCCAATATTTAGGTATACAAACATCTTTGGTTAAAGACTGCCCTGTTTGTTCATTTGAACTTATGACAGCATCCCCTTGGTCACATGATTACCTTTCGGATATTCACAGCTGGCTTCTGACATGATAAGATAACCCAATGGGGAAACCAGCAGAAAGTCGCAAGTCTCTGTCATATGACTTTGTGCTTATCCATTTAGGGCGATTTCTCTTAATAACTGAACTAATATTGTCAGTCAGGCATAAACACATTATATGTCACTTAGCAACTACATTGCTAGTCTGAATTGTGGTAATGAAGTGAGGACTATCTGTATTTTGAATGATTATTTATGGAGTGTTATTAATCCTTTTAGCACCAGTTTTGCCCTTTGAAGCCCCCAGAATTCTGAGGAGATCTGCAGATGCTTGAAGCTATATTGGTGCAGGTTAAACTCAAAATTCCAATGGCAACATTTGGGAATAAAATATCAAAAGTTACATGATTATGCTTTCTGAATTGTTCAGAAATTGTTGTATTGTAGAAATGCATTATAACTCTTCTGAATATTGTGAATGTTAGTTATTTGTGAATTAATGTATAAAAAAATCTTGTATAATTGTTCATTAGGGAATGGTGCTTAAATATTATAAAATATAAATATAATGTGCACTTGTTTTTGCTCTATTTTTCTTTCTCAAAATATGTGGAGTAGATATTTCTTAAAGTAATCTGCTATTTCCCAGGGAAGATAAATTTAAATTTGAATTCATATTTCTCAAGGATATGTTTCTTACACTTTTTTCTATCAAAATTACCTTTGTAGTTACCTAATCCTAATAATCTTTTCCTATGCAGGAACAATCACGATTGAATTCTCTTGTGTGCCAGACCTTTGTCTTCTGTTATTTGTGGTCTGTGGGTGGAAATGTAATGGAGAATTGTTGGGATGCTTTTGATACATTTGTAAGACAGCAATTTGAGGATAACCCTGATGCCAAGGTATGAAATATATTGTGGGAATAATTCATTGGCATTTGTGGTAATGCTTTTCATTATCATGTGGCAATAAAACAAGAATAATGTTTCCTTTATTTCAACCTATAAAAAAGATATTAACAAGTGTTTCTGTATTCAGATATACCCCAAACAAGCATAGGCTTGGAATGTGCAAAATTCCTATTTGGGAAGGGAACATTCTGGAACTTTCTCTGTAGATCTTGCTAAAACTCCTCTTGAACTGGAGATGATCCAATAAATTCCCTGAACTGGAAATGTTTAACATCTTCTGGACCAGATTCCTAACCTGTTTCAGGGTTGGAGCAGCCTGGATCACCTTGAATTGCTTCTGTTTTGAAGGATGGAAACCATCCCTGGAATGGCATTTTCAAAAAGTATTTTGCCATGGCCTGGAGGAAAATGGAATATTCCATCCTGAAATGATGAAACACATATCACTACTTTGAACCTTTTCCTACATGCATCTAACCATGTACCGGCAGACTTTTTTCTGCTGTGTCTTAAGATCTGCTTTCACCACCTCCTCCACTGAACCAGAAAACATAGCTGAAATCATCTCTCTTTCCCTTTGGTTTCTGGACCCAGCTCTCTAAAGCTATTATAATTTAGACAATAAGAGATTTCAGCTTTTTTAATTGTGGTGTTCCTCATAATGAGGTCTCCGAACATATCTGTCATTCAGAATCCTAGATCAGCTACTTTTAAAACAACAAGTTGACTAGACTGAACCTTTGTTTAAAGATAGGCTAAACACAGTAGACAGGAATGGCATGGTGATTGTTCCATGAAGCAGCAGAGAGAGAAGTTGGCTGGTTCTTTCTCCTGGTTTATCTTCTGAAAATATCCCCCACCTCCACCCAATCTGTGCCTGTCAGCTCTTTTTCGAGTTTGCTGACAGGGGCTGATGTTAAAGAATCAGCTTCCCCATTTCCTGCCACCTCTGCCAGCATTTGCTGCTGATTTCTGGGAGGTGGAGAGAGAAGAGGAAAGCAAGGTGATTTTACTCTATTTACCCTCCAGGTCTCACAGTAAATAAAGGTACAGCACTTATGGCATCATTGATATAATTTTCTGTCGTCTAAAAGACTGATAGACAGCATTCTTGGCTCTTATTCTCTGTAAGATTTATTATTGGTCTAAAACCTAAGTAAACCCCATGTACAACAACTGGCAAACATGTAAAATAAATAAAGTTTTCCTTGATTTTTTGCTGATTCAAAATACATAGTGTAATACTTGCATTAGATATTTTTTTAATGGTAAATTCTGAGAATAATGAAAAAAGTCTGCTTTCATTATTAGAGAGAAAAACCCAAAAAATGTATTACTGTAGTAGTTTCTGCTAGTTTATGGATCAAAGAATCTGAGCAATTTATGATTCAAAGTCCTACATCTGTATTAATAGAACGTTTCCCATTTTCCTTTACGTTCCATTCTTTTCTCTTGATCCTTGGTAGAACATTAACATGATTGTTTTACCTTCTAGCTCCCAACTTCTGGTGATTTGTGGAGTGTTTACATTGATTATGATACAAGACGCTTGGATCCTTGGGAGCGAATTATACCAACCTTTAAATACAAAAGGACAATTCCATTTTTTGAAATGCTTGTTCCTACCACTGACACTGTACGCTATGGGTTTCTAATGGAAAAATTGCTAGCTGTCAAACATTCCGTGCTCTTCACAGGAATTACTGGAGTTGGCAAGGTAAGGAATATTGGATCACACAGTGAAATTATTTTGGGGTTTTTTTTGGGGGGGGGGGACCAGCAGATTTAAGAGGGATTTAAAGGGAATGTTCATTAAGGCATTCTTTGACTAAGGCCCAATCTAATTATGACTCCCACCATACAGTTGGGTGTTGTGTAATTGTTCTTTATTTAACAAATAACAGCAGAAGGGATGTAAGCCAAATAAGACATCATCTATAGACAAGACTTGAACATTTTCCCCTCCTGTAGGCCTAACTCAACCCTTTTCTTCCCATTTCTGTAATTAGCCATTCTGTTGCAACAACCCCCCCCCCCACACACACTTCCTTTGGATGTGTGCTATGACAGCACAAACATCCCAAAGCTGCAGCAAATTGGCACAAAACTCTTCCCCCCCCCCCCTCAATTTGACAAAAGCAGCCAGGAGCAGGGGACCCATCTGTAGGCAACACCAAGTTTCCCTGACTTGAAGTTAACTTTAGAAATTTCCAGAGTGTGTGAAGGATTACAGGAAGAATAATAGTTTCTATATTTTGGGAAATTAATTCTCTGTTACAAGTATAACTTCATTATAAAGGTTACAATATCTCTAATCATCTAAAAAGGAAGAAGGAAAACAAATGCAATATAAACATTTTGAAAGACTTGTTGAGTCCCTTGTTTAGTGAGACTGAGAAGAGAGGAGGAAAAAAACATGCATGTGAACATTTTTGTGGCCCATAGAAATGGAAGAAACATGATTGGGGAATGTAATACTGCTCATAGGATTCTGTAGTCTGCTACATGTGTAGCAGTATAGTAAATATTAGAGGGAATTACGGTATTTACATGTCCTTTTATTTATCTACCTTTTCTTTTACAAAGTCTGTAGTTGCAAAATCACTGCTTAACAAAATACAAGATGAAGCCGGCTATGTTCCTGTTTACTTAAATTTTTCTGCTCAGACTTCTTCAGCCAGGACACAAGAGATTATAGAATCAAAATTAGAAAAAAAAAGAAAAAACATTTTAGGTAAAGATAAATAATTACATTCTTTTTCTTGTATTTGATTATTTTGTTTTTGCTTTTCTTTTTATTTGGTTTGCTTATCTAACTAGCACTTGATCACCTAACAGAATTTGAAGACAATTAGCTTTCTGATAAGGGGAATTCATTAATACTCTTCCTGTTTCAGATATGAATGGGAAACAATATAGTTGTACCTCAAAGTAACAGCAAAAGGAAAACTGAGTTGAAATATGAATATAGGCTGCAGTATTATATTATATGCTTCTCTCACAAGAGGGCACTATTGGTATTTGAGAAATCTAATATATTCATCTTATTACGTATATTCTATCATGTTAACCTGAGTTTTTGCTTAATGAGGATTTTTCAGTCAGCCTCTTTCTTCTTTGATTCATGCAGGAATTCCCAACTGCTGATGCTTATCAAATATGTTTCCCTTTCCTGTTTATAAAATAATGTTAAAATTATACCAAAGTGCAATTTCTGTGAGACTAAATACAAACACAATTGTATATAATGATCCAGATTCTCTGGCTGCATGTCGCTCAACCCTAAATAATATGGATATATGTGGAAAATGGACAACCCAGCCCCTCCATCTTTTAAATGTTGGAATATAGCCATGATTGAAAGCTTAGGTTCTAATGAATAGTTAAGGGTTGTTTTTTTTTTTTTTTTTTTTTCAGAAATAATACAATAACATTTGGGAGGGATCTTGCAGGTCTTCTAGTCCAACACCCTGCTCAGGAAGGAAATCCTATACCATTTTAGACAAATAATCATCCAATTCTTCTTTAAAATCTCCAGTATTGGAGCACCCACAACTTCTTGAGGCAAGCCGTCCCACTGATTAATTGTTCTCACAGTCAGGAAATTTCTCCCAAATGTTATT